GTCCTGATTGCCCAGTGCAAGCCCACAGCCACTGTGACCACTGCCTCCCTCCTCACGGACTACACCTCCATGAGCCTCCACCACACCTTCAGCCTGACCAGACCGAAACAGACCCCCCAAATCAATCAGTCCGTGGTCCGTCCCACCGTCCTCTCCAGTCTCCTTCGGCCAACCTCAGTCAAAGTCCTTTGGCTCCTCTGTCTTTCATTCCCCACATGCAGTTCAGGAGCAAGTCCTGGGTCTGCGCCTCCAGAACATTGCAGACCCATCCATCCTTGGCAGCCCTCTGCAGACCTGCACTCACCGTCTACCCCGATGGCCCTGACCTCTGTCCTCCTGCACTCCAGCCTCTCTTACTCCCACACTCCAGGCTTCCCCAGCAGACAGAGGGGCCTTTAAAAAAAATTATGGTTATAAAATATATATACACACACACACACACACACACACACACACACACATAACATAAAATCACTCTTTTTAACCACACAATTCAGTGGCATTAATTATATTCTCAATGCTGTGCCACCAACATCATTATCTATTTCCAAAACTTTTCCATCACCCCGGACAGAAACTCTGTGCCTCTTATGCAAAATCTTCGTCTCCCCCTCCCCGCAGCCCAACAACCACTAACCTGCCCTCTGTCTCTATGTACCTGCCGGTTCTGGACTTTTCATATCGATCGGATCTTACAGCCCTGTGCTGACTTCTTCCACTCAGCGTTGTGTTTTCGAGTTCATCTAAGTTGTAGCATGTCAGAGCTCCCTCTTTATGACGGTGTAATATTCCGCTGGATGGGCCACCTTTTGTTTATCCATCATCCAAAGACGGACCCTGGGCTGTCTCCACAGAGGGGTCTTGTCAAAGGCAATCTGGACAGATCGCTCCCCAGCTTAAACCCCTGCACCAGCTCCGGTTCCACGGCCCATGGGGCCACACGTGCTCTGACTCCTGCCCCCCTCCCCCATGCTCCAGCCACCGGTTCCCACCACAAGGCCTTGCCTGTGTCTCCAGCTCCACATCCCTCAGATCTCAGCTCAGATGTGCACCCCTCAGAGGTGCGGACGGGCCTCCAACGCCCTGCATCACAGCACCCTGAGTCTGTGCCTGCCCACCCGGTCCCCAGCATCCTGTAACCTCCTAGGTCCTGTTTCCCTCTTGGTAAAATGGGGATACCTCACAGGATAGCCAAGCGATAAGGTGAATTCATTCATGTGAAACGCTTAGGGCCGCACCTGGCACATGGTGAGTGCCGTGTCCCTGCAGCACGTCTCTCCCAGGTGACTTTACCTGTGTAGCCGTGGATTGCATTTGTACCCCCAGGAGAATGGAAGTTCCTGAGACCGTTTCCTGGCGCCTAGACATGCAGTAGGTCCTCAAACCAACATTTACCAAATGAACTAAGATGAGTGACGAAGGATGGTAGTGGGGGCAGCTGGAGATGGGGGCATGTGCCCTGCAACCTAGGCCAAGCCTGGCCCACACTGGCTAGGCACCAATGCCTCAGGGGCACAAAGTGTTCCCCAAGGGCTGCCCTGCTGCTCCTGAGGGCTCCTCCCTGGAAGCCCAGGAAGCCCCATGCACACCCAGAACCGGCCCCAGCTCAGGAGCTGGGCACTGCGGCTCCCATTCCCTACCTTCCTGGCCTGACTTCGTGCCCACCTTTCACCTGACACCTTGTGCCCACCTAGGTGGGAGGCCAGGCGTGGGTATGTGAGAGCCACCTTGGAGACCCAGGCCTGACCATCCCTGGGACCTTCAGAGGGGGTTATTTTGGATTGAATTTTATCCTCCCCCCCAAAAGATATGCTCGAGTCCTATCCCCCAGGACTCAGGATGGGACCTTATTTAAAAGAAGTAATCAAGCCCGGCCAGTGTGGCTCAGTGGTTGAATATCGACCTGTGAACCAGGAGGTCCCGGTTCGGATTCCCAGTCAGGGCACAGGCCTGGGTTGCCGGCTCCATCCCCATTAGGGGGTATGCAGGAGGCAGCTGATCAATGATTCTCTCTCATCATCGATGTTTCTTTTTCTCCTTCTCCCTTCCTCTCTGAAATCAATTTTTTTTAAAGTAATCAAGTTACAATGAGGTCCTTAAGTTTGGCCCTAACCAGTAGGGCTGGTGAGGACACAGACATGGCCCTGGGAGAAGCCCACGTGAAGACGGAGGCAGAGTCGGGGTGATGGTTCTACAGGCTAAGGGACACCAAGGACTGCGGCACCACCAGAAGCTGGGGAGGGGCCCGGGATCGATTCCAGTCTCAGAGCCCAGAAGGAACCATCTCTGGCAACACCCTGATCTTGGACTCCCAGCCTCCAGAAATGTCAGACCACACATTTCTGCTATTAGAGCCGCCTAGTCTAGGGTACTCTGTCCTATCGGCCTAGGGAAGTCACAGGGGTCAAGACACATGGAGGCGGGAGGCAGACAGGGGCAGGACCCTGGACTGTGCAACTTCGGGGAAGCTTTCACAAACTGCAGGGCGGTGGGGCTGCTGGGATCTCCAGTGCTTGAGCCACCCGGGATGCCAGGCATAGCAGCTGACACCGTGCCCGTGCGAGCACCGCGCCCACGTACCTCACCTAATCGTCCTAAGGACTGAGTAAAGGGGGGTAACCCACATTTTACAGATGAGGAAGGTGAGGTCCCAGGGAGACCCACCTGCTAAGGGGGCTTTGAACGCAGGAAGGCTGGCCCTACAGGCTGATGCTGAGAACTGGGGAGACCCTGGGGGCCAGGAGTCCCCCTCCAGGCCCCCACTGCATCTGTGTGATGGAGAGTCCTCAGAGCTGGACAGTCCTGGAGGTTCCACTCTCTTCAGGGCCAGGTGAGCCTGGATCTGCATCTGTCGCCAACCTGAACCTCAGTGACTGAGTGGCCCCAGCTGAAACCAAGTGAAATGGAGCTCGCTGCCCTCATGCTGAGGGAGGGAATGGGCCTCAGGCGTGTCCGGCTACCAGGTCAGGCAGGTGGCCCACCTGCCTCTCACCTGCCTCAGTGTTGGTGCCTGAGCACCTGATCCCATCGGTCTCAAATCAAGGGGTGGGGGTATAGCGGGCTACCCAGTGGTGGGTGTTGCAGCCCAGGCTCTGTCCTCGGGTGCCCTGGAATGGGGTAGTCAGGTGACAGGAGAAGGGGATGCTGGAGCAGAGGGGGCGCCTCCAGCTTGCCCTAGAGTGCAGGTGCCATAGCAACCCTCTGTGCTCAAGTGGGTGGGAGTCTGAGTGCCTGGGGGGGAGGGGGGATATGACAATGGGGTGTTCAGCCCTTAGTGCCCTGCTCCACACAGCATCTCCTGTTCCATCCTCGGCAGATAAGCCCTCCCCAAACTCAGCCGCCTGAGAGCCCAGCTCACAGGCCCTCCTCCTCCAGGAAGTCTTCAGGCATGATAGAGTGGGGAAGGGACAGGCCCTGGGTCTGAATCTGCTGTGCTGCCTTGGGCAGGCTCTTGGCCTCTCTGAGACCATTTCCCCATCCCTGTTCCAGGCTAACAGAGCTACCTCGCACAGACAGAACCACTGCCCTGAGAGTGCCCAGAACATGCCCTCCTTCCGGAAGGGAACTGTGGGCTCAGGGAACGCAGGATC